TGTGTGTGGCCAGCTTAGCCCACCAGGGGGCGGGGCTGGCTGGCACATGGTGCTGGGGGATTGAACCGTGGTCCCTGTGCTTTGCTAAGCTTGTTCTAAGTAGGTGCTTTAGACCACTGAGCCATCTCACCAGCCCAAGACTTTTAATGTTGTGTTTACATTAACATTCAGTTATTTAGGGTTTATGTGTGGCTGCCTCACCTGCCTAGGGAATGGGGCTGGTGTATCATGTGATGCCAGGATCGAACCACAGTCCCTGCACTTTGCCTAAGCAGGTGCTTTAGACCACTGAGCTGTCTTGCTGGCCCTTCATCTATAGGTTTTGTGAAGTTATGGACATTGCACAATTTCTCACATTTACACATGGTTTCTCTTTAATGGGAGCTCTTTCATGTATTTCAATATGTAACAGAATTTATATACCTTATACATGAAATCTTTCATGTTCATGTATTGTAATTGAAAAATCCTCTGCAATGCTCACATATATTTATTCCCTGTGAATTCTTTCATATATGTAATTATACTTGTATAAAAAGGTTATCTACTTAGAAAATATTTCTCTCTAGGCCAATTGCTGGCATTGTTGAACACTTTATAGACTCAATTAATTTTCTGTTACCTCCTAATGTGTATACCTCCATAAGTAAAACAAGTCTTTTTCATTGCTGATACACATTTCTCCCAAGGATCTTTTTTTGTGTGCACACTGGACATACCACTGTGCACCAAAGGTATTCCTACATGCTTATATAGATGACAGTTCTACAGTGTGTGTGTGGCTTTTTCCTTTTTTTTTTTTTTTTTTTTTTTGCGGAACTGGGGATTGAACTCATGCCCTTGTGCTTGCCAGAGAAGTACTTATTCCACTGAGCCATCTCCCCAGCCCCTCTAGTGTTTTTTCATGCATTTTGCAAAGGTAGTGTGTACTGAAAACATAGTGATATTGTTTACATGCTTGGGTTTTCTCAACAGTGCATGTTCATTCACACCTTTAACAATGATTATGTGTATGGAAAGCTTTCCCACATTGCTTATGTACATAGGGTTTCTCCTTAGTGAATTCTTTCATGCCTTTGACAGCTACTATGTGTACTGAAAGTTTTCCCACATTGCTTACATTCATAGGGTTTTTCCCCAGTGTGACGTCTTTGATGTATTGTACAAATTTTCTTTGTGCTGAAAGCTTTCCCACATTGTGTGCATACATAAGGTTTCTCCCCAGTGTGAATCCTTTCATGAATTCGACAACTACCATGTGTACTGAAAGCTTTACCACATTGCTTACATACATAGGGTTTCTCCCCAGTGTGACTTCTTCCATGTACTTTACACTCCTGGTTCGTGCTGAAACCTTTCCCACAATGTGTACATACATAAGGTTTTTCCCCAGTGTGAGTCCTTTCATGTATTCGACAACTAGCATGTGTAGTGAAAGCTTTTCCACACTGTATACATACATAGGGTTTCTCCCCAGTGTGAATTCTTTCATGTATTTTACAATACTTGCTTGTGCTGAAAGCTTTCCCACATTGTGTACATACATAGGGCTTCTCACCAGTGTGACTTCTTCCATGTATTCGAAAACTACCATGCACACTAAAAGCTTTCCCACATTGCTTACATACATAAGGTTTCTCCCCAGTGTGACTTCTTTTATGAATTTTACAATCCTTGTTTGTGCTGAAAGCTTTTCCACATTGTGTACAAACATAAGGTTTCTTTCCATTGTGAATCCTTTCATGTCTTTGACAACTCTTTTTTGTGACGAAAGCTTTCCCACATTGCTTACATATATAAGATTTCTCCCCAGTGTGACTTTGTTCATTTATTTGACAACTATATTGTCCTGTGAAAGCTTTCCCAAATTCCTTACATACATAAGGTTTCTCCAGAGCATGAGTTCTTTCATGTATTTCGTAAGTATCTTGTCTGATGAAAGCTTTTCCACATTGTTTACATACACAGGCTTTCTCTCCAATGTTACTTTTCTCATGATTACCAAATAAATTGTTGTTAGTAAAAGGGTTTGCATCATGTGTACATAAATAGATTTTTTCTCCAGTGTGAGCTTTCTCATGTGTCTGAATACCACGGTCAGAATTAAAACCTCTTCCACATGATGCATGTCTATACATAATCCCTTCACTGTGACTTCTTTCTGCAATTTGAAAATAGTTGGGGGTACTGAATGATTTCACATGTTCCTTAGATGCAAATGGCTTCCCTTCAATGATATTTTCTTCAGTACCATCAGAATATGATTTTCCACAAAGCATATATGCATGGAGTTTCTCTCCAGGACTTGTCTTTGCATGTTTCTGAAAGGACTGGAGTTTTGTGCAGGTGTTACCATGTTTGTAACAGTTAGACAGCTTCTCTTGAACTCCTTGTTGTTCATGTGATTTGACTGTAGCATTAGTCAGGATAGGCCCATCTCCTGATGACTGCTGAGCCAGAGGCCTTCTAGAGGAAATGCTTTCACCATGTCTTCTACCAACATGTTTTGTGAGTGCATTCACATCTGGCATCTGAGCGAACATTTCTCCATGTTGATACCACAATTTATACTGATAGGATTTCTCTACCTCTTCATTTCTATAAAGGGAAAAGTAACAAAACAGTCACATTAAAAGGGATATTTTTTAAGTCATAATTCATCGTGAGATCTGTGTTGATTTCTCCTAAGAATGTTTAATCATAAATTTACCCAAACAGTAGGATTTGGGAGTTTCTAACTGACATATGTGCAGTATACAGTATTACTTGCATTTTGACAATACTGAATACATCTTTATCAAACATGTTCCATATCTTTAGGTGAGTGGATTTGTGTTCCTTCAAGACTCCAACCCATCATTTTCCATGGAGTGGCTTTACCTATCCAAAACATCTGCCTCTCATTTATCTAACATGTTTATTTCATTTTAATGCCTTCCTCAATTCATATTACAGGATTCCTCTTTAAAATATAACTTGTGATAGTAAAATATCTGCATCTGATTTATTTAACCGAATATACAGGCTCTAGCTCTATCCATATTTTGGCAAATGACATCAGTCCATTTTCTTTGTGCCTGAATATTACTCTATTATATGGAAGCTGAACCCAGGGTTTTAGCAGAGATCCATGCCCAGGTTTATTTATTTTTAATTTAGATACAAAGTGAAGAATGATGAAGTTGCCCAGGTTGAGCAGCAATGTGTAATCTTTTACCTCAGCTTCTCACAGTGTAGGATTCTAAGCAGGCTGCTTTATGCCCGGCTCTCCCATGTTTCCTTTATAAAACAATCTCTCATGGGAATTTAGGGATTCTTCAGAGCTGGGCTTTTAAAGTTATTGTACTACAAGTAAGTATTGATGCACTTCTGTCATATGATTACTTTCATTTTAGGGATTATTTGCAGTAAAAGTACAGTTGCATAAATGGGATTTCTTTTTTTTAACTTTTTTGGGGAATCTTTTATGCACATTTACAGTTATAAAAGTTATGCCACTCTGACATCTCCAAAAATATAATGGCCATGTGCCTTCTAGTACATGAATGGAATGTGTGCATTGGAGGACTGCATCAAAATAAGTACAATCAAAACAGTGGCATTCACCTGGATTTTGAATACAGCAACAGTAGCAACTTTTCAAATATTGAACGTTTATGTCACATTTAACTACATGTACAATGACAATTTTTTTTTTCATATGAAAGCGATCCTTTAAACACACACAGATAGATCAACACATCGAGATATTTGAAAGTTTCTTTCTTTCTTTTTTTCCCAGAGATGGAACTCAGATCCCTGCACTTACCAGGCAGGCATTTATGCCACTGAGCTATCTCCCCAGCCCAGATTGATATAGTTGAACTTGACTCTCTGACTACACACAAAATCTGTCTTATCTACTCCTACGTTCAATACCTAAATGCATTTCATTTAATATATTCATAGGGGCCGGGGAGATGGCTCAGTGGAATAAGTGCTTCCCTGGCAAGCACAAGAGGCTGAGTTCAATCCCCAGTTCCGCCCCCCCAAAAAAGAAATTAATATATTCATAATTTTGAGCATGGAAAATTAAATTGTTCTTTTATATTAGGTCAAATGTCTCTTTGGCATAATAGTACCACTTATATTACAGACACTGGAGTACTGCAAACACCCAACTGTCAGATTAGGCATCTACAACTTAAATAAATAATCTTTTTTTTTTATTTTTATTTATTACATTTATTTATTGTGTCTGTGTGTGTGTGGCCAGCTCAGCCCACCAGGGGGCGGGGCTGGCTGACATGTGGTGCTGGGGGATGGAACCGAGGTCCCTGTGCTTTGCCAAGCTTGTTTCAAGTAGGTGCTTTAGACCACTGAGCCATCTCTCCAGCCCCTTAAATAAATAATCTTTGGGGACATTTTGTGAGACTGATGAAATATGAGCATTGCCTTGTTTGCATAGTTTGCTTAGTTTCAATATTCTGATATGTGAGGAATATTGTTTTGAGTGAAAATTACCTTAGACTTTTCTTGCAATTTTTGTACTCATCTTGACTTTGCTGGTCCTCTGAGTTTGTTTCTAAAGAATAGAAACAGAAACATAATGACTTGCTACATTATGTGACTATCAGTACATTCCAGTCAGATGGATGGTACCAGGTGACAATGCTTAGAATATGCATCAAAACACTTCCATTTTCCAATTAAGCAAACTGCACTAGGGAGTACCAACCAATGTTCTCTGATTACATAAATGAGAAGACATTTTCCTTACCTATGGTAGTCAGGCTCCTAAAGATTTCCCACATCACGTCTCTGTACAGCTTCTTTTGGGATGGATCCAGCAAAGCCCACTCTTCCCTGGAGAAGGTCACAGCCACATCCTCAAAGGTCACTGTCTCCTACATCATCAGACATGTATTTCCAGGAAGAATGAGATTCAGAACATGAACCATCTCAACTCTACTCATAACAACTGATACAAGTCTGAGTGTTTAAAATGCACACCTGAGGCCGGGGAGATGGCTCAGTGGAATAAGTGCTTCCCTGGCAAGCACAAGGGCCTGAGTTCAATCCCTGGTTCTGCCAAAAATAAATTTAAAATAAATAAATAAAAATATAAAATGTTCACTTCACGTTTTTGACACAATATACACACTCCGTTCATGAGCATACGTCATCTAGGAATTTGGATGTGACATTGGAATTCACTGCTAAAGCAACGGTTTAATGGAACACTGTGCTCCAATGAGCTAAACACTGGTGCTCCTGCTCATTTACATGTACAAAGTAACTAAAGCATGTTTCAGAGTAGGAGCCTACAAAATCAGAAAACAAGAGAAATACTATGGTGGATAAATATCTGACGAATGACTTAGAGATCAGAGAAAATATCTTTTTCTCAGCTTCTTTAGGGAATTGATACCTTCCTTCCTTGATTCTATTTAGATAGCATTTTGAAACTTCAAACTGCTTTCATAGACAAAGGCTTAGTTGAACACTAAGCAAAATTGATGAATGATATTTTGCAAAGTGGGAAAAATTTCAGATTTTGAGACTATGCCTAAGAACAGAGAAATCAGATTAATAAACCAATCTTTTTCCATAATTCAGTGATCTAAAATCTGACAGGAAGGAGAGAAATTGCAAGTTGGGTGTGATGAAACGTATATGAAATGTATCAATCACTAATACTTTGCAAACTGAACAAACACTAATCAGAAAAGACAAAAACTGAAGAAAAAAAGTTATTCCCAATATACTTTCAGGTGCAACAGCTTCTTTAATACACAGTACAGAGATTCACAATCCACTACTTAGAGAACTGTTTTGAGAGATTCAAAGTAGGAGACACAACGGTGAAAACTTAGGCTGTGGCACAGTACAAATGGCAACTTGACTGTATGCTACTGAACAACTTGCTAGATGTTATACCCTTTTTCACCATCTATTTATTTATTTATATATATATTTTTTGTCAGAACCAGGGATTGAACTCAGGTCCTTGCGCTTGCCAGGAAAGTACTTATTCCACTGAGCTATCTCCCTGGCCCTCACCATCTATTTAGAAATGAAGATCTTAACATTCAATATGGTGAAGTGAAAGGCAGCACACATGCCTTCAGCCAGTTCAGCAATGAGTTGGGTTTGATTTACACTGCCTAGAGAAAGGGGCATGCAGCCAGTCACGGGAGGCAAGAGAGAAGAATCAGCATGTAGCACACCTCATAGTGTACACGTCTTAGCAAATATGTTCTTGAAATGGGTTGCTTTATAAATATTTTCCCTGATTGTCTTTTGATAATTTAAAATATACTGAATTACATTTATTATTCTTTTTTTGGTGGATCCGAGGATTGAACTCAGGCCCTTCTGCTTGCCAGGGAAGCACTTATTCTACTGAGCTATCTCCTCTGCCCAATTTAGAGAGGGTTTTTCTTGTTTTTTGAGCTGGGGATTGAACTCAGGCTCTTGTGCCTGCCAGGGAAGTGCTTATTCAACTGAGCTATATCCCCAGCCCCTAAATTACATTTATTTTATATCTATATTATTGTTATGCACTCCAGACATCAATCTTCTCCAATAAGGCTAACTCATAACTCAGATTAGCTCCTAAATCTCCTCACAGTACAGATCAGCTGAAATAGACAAGGCTGTGTCCACTTTTATTTTCACAGTGCTGGAAATCATCTGTGGGTCCAATCCACTCCATTACACTGTCTTTATTTTGAATCCTTTGGAAGATGTGAGGCCTTAGATTCATAGTTAGCAATATAAGTGCCCTGATCCATCATGTAGTTGCTATTAAGTGTTTGATTACTATGCTTTTTAAAGTTCAGCTTCTTCAGACCAAAGTCCTAGTGTTGCTTAGAGCAGTTCAAAGTATATTTTTCTTTTCTTTTCCCTCACCCCTCCTAATCTCTTTTTGTTCTGAAAGCATCACTCCTCAGAATTTCAATTTCTACTCTTTTAGCATGAAATATTTTCATGAGGTTATTGAAGGGGGCATCAGCATCAGTGTGCTTGTTGTAGAGCAAGGCTTCAGCCTGCAGGCTGACTACCCAGATTTATGGAAGTGAAAATAGCAGACATACAAACTTCTGTTCACTGTGGGTACAGTTACACAGGGTGTAGTGCACCGAGGCCATGTTGACATCTTCCTGGACCTCTGACCACTGAAGTTCCTCAGTTTCTTGACACCTAAGCTAAAGAGCACCAAGCACTAGCGTTCACAAAGTCTCACTGAACAAATGCAGGGACTGACATCTGCCACTAGTTCCAGTGTGACTCATGATGCTGTTGAGGGTGGGCCAGCTGGTGAAGCTATTTTCCTCATTAAGCAGGAAGAGTGACCCTTCTTTCCCATGTACCCTCATCATTAATTAAGGCTGAGGATGAAGACCTCCCTGTAGCAATTTTCAAGCTCCTGCATTTGGTCATCAATGTGCAGTTCTCTGAAGACACCACTCCTGGGCCCCTCAACAATGGAGAAGAGGGCTTGACCTGTCAGGTTGCCCACGGCCCGAATGTGCTCTGGTTGGCTGCTTTCTTTCGCCATCCTGATCTTGCCGCAAACATGGCAAGATTGGAGCTTATACTTGAAGTTCATCCAGGCCACACTTCAAAAGTTATGATGCCAGATGTGGAAGGCTTGCTGGAAGCTGGTCCGCTAACAGTGCATAGAGGAATGACCCACAGTTGTCTCAGGTGACCTGGGGTAGGCATCTGGAGACTCACTCTATGGCACAAATGCTTGCCCATGTGCTTGGCAAACAGGCAAGCAGTGTTGAGGGAGCACTGTCGTGCTAACCAGCATGCCACACAAGGACTGTGTCATAGGCTGTAGCGGGTAAGGCAGCACGGTTCCAAGGTACAGCTTGAGGGCGGAATGCATGCTCTGAATCATCACATGGTGACTTCGGGGGGTGCAGCATGCACCAACCGAGGGTTTGTAGCTTGCATCTCTGCTTCAGGGGAGGCTCTCTGCTGCTTCACAGCCTGCCTGGCTTATACACTAGCCCCAACTTACTCCTTGCTCTGTGCATTTGGTCAGATCTAATTGCATTTACTTTGGTGTTTGTTTGAATGTATTTAGTGCAGGGTCTACAGGATCTCACTTCGTAGATCAGACTCTTAGTGATTGTTTTTCAGCGTACCAAGTGCTGGGAGTATAGGCATGCACACCATGCCCAGCCTCAATCATGTCTCAGTGTGCCCCAGGGGCCGGGTCAGCACAGCACGCCTGGGATCAAACCCTGGCCGATGCTCTCTGCCTAAGCAGGCGCTTTAGTCCGCTGAGCTATCTGGCCGGCCCTGTTTGTTTGTTTTGTGGCCAGCTCAGCCCACACTGGGGACAGGGCCAGAACGGCATGTGGTGCTGGAGATCAAACTGCAGTCTCTGCGTGCTTGCCTAAGACACCACGTGAGTATCTCAATAATAGAAAGTGGTGTGTGCTTCAAAAGTTGTGATAGTTTTAAAGTTCCAGTTCCAGAAACGGGAAAATTAAATTTTAAAAAATTGTATTACAAAGGGCTGGCCAAGTAGCTCAGCGGATTAAACTGCTTGCAAGCAGGTGCAGGGGTTGGGGGGTTCAATCCCCGGGTCAGCTGTGCCAGCCCCACCCCCAAGGCACGCTGAGATGGCAGTTGAGACTGGGCACATTGGTGTACGCCTATAATCCCAGCTCTTGGGAGGCTGTAAACAGAAGGATCACTAGGAGTCCAATCTAGGAATGAGAACCTGAACACCCTGTTAACCTTCCCCCAAAATAAAAGAAAGAAAAAAAATTGTACTACACACAAATAATCTAAAATTCAGAGATGTCTCTAGCCAGAAGAATTCAAGGATTTCTTTCAGACTACCCATTGCATTAACCATTTTAGCTGCTAACTTAAATATTCTGGACATAAAAACAAATAGTTGATGGTGCTTAATTTAACCAAGCGTTGAGAACTTGCCAAGTAGTAGTGACATAAAAACCCCCATCAGAGCCAAGCTTGGTGATCTGCACCTGTCATCACACCACTGTCATGGAATAAAGCAAGAAGATCCCAAGTTAAAGCCTAACCGCTTCAAACGACGGAATTAAACAAAAAGGGGGATACAGATGAATGTCCATTTTGTATCTGGGTATTCAAAATGGTTAAGATAGATATATAGTTACATTCCCTTAATGAATAGAGGGATGTGTTCTAATCGTGTTTATAAAGAGGATAGCATGTCTGCATCTTGTACAGCAAATAACCACTAGGAGGAGAGTATGCAATGTGTTAATTATTGAAACTGTCCTACCATTTGATTTGAAACTGTCTCATTCCCATTTGTCTCTCAATAAAATTATGGAAAAAATAAATAAGTAAAGCCTAACCGGTACAACCTAGTGAGACTCACCCTCGCAACTTCATACTGATGCTACTGCCACCCCGAGGGAGAATTCCTGAAGACGGATGGAGCTGAGAGTAAGCGTCCTGGATTCAAGGCAACCACGAATTTCTTCTAATTCTTTGAACCCACAAAAAAACCAGACACAATTTTCTAAATTCCAGTTTTGCCTCATATAACGTAAGAAGAAAAAAACTTAATATTTCTAAACTTTTCTTTCCTTCAAGTTTCTGATATTTGACTTACATTCAGTGAGTCAGCTTAAGACATTGTTTATTCTCATACTAATATTTGATCTTTTTAAAATGTATTTGGTTGTACAGTGTCTCACAACGCAGCTCGGACTCACAATGATTCTCCTGTTTTCAGCCTTCCCAGCACTGGGATAGCATGCGCATCCCACTAAGCCCCAACTCTGTGCCGGTAGGCACATGTGGTGCCAGGGATTCAACCATGGTCCCTAAGCTTGCCAGAGCTTGCCAGAGCTTGCCTAAGCAGGCGCTTTACTCTGCTGAGCTATCTCACTGACCCTAAAATATAATCTGTTAACACAGTGTCACTTTGGAATCCAAGTTGGTCTTGCAAGCCCAGGTATCCTCCTGCCTCAGCCTCCCAGTGCTGGATACAGTTGTGCACCACCATACCCAGGTCCGTATGAAAATATTTTGACTTCGAGGGTAAATCCTCTCCAGTTCAGGAGCTGACTTTGCCAAACACTATCAGCCCATCCTTACCCAAATTCCATCTCCCTAATTTACTTTTGTTTTTCATCTTTCCTTCTTTAAAATTTAGCTCCTCCCTGGACTCAAAATCATTTTATACCTAACAACTGACAGGCAGGCAGACATGCACTGGTGCTTAATTCCTACATCAGCAGTCCTTTACGAAAGGGCAACCTCAATAAACATTTCATTTTTTAAAAAGTTTGTACAAGCTATCCAACATTGCATGGATCATGGGGAAGGTGGCACTTATCCCTCTTTCCACTGATCTGCACATTATATTTACAAGTAGATGTGGCATGTCAAATAGACCATCCGTTTCTGGTTAATAGACAGTCCCTTTTGGAAAGTTGTCATTTGAAAGATTTCTTCATTTTCTTCTTCAGCGATCAGGAATGCTTCCTCCCAATTTCTTGGCATTCTAATCATACTAATGGAAGTGTTTTCTTTTATTTCTTTCACTGCTGTGGATTGGATAAAATTCAAGCTTGACAGTAGCTCAGCCATTGAGACACATTACCAAGAATATTAAATCTTCCTCAGATTTTCTTGGATGTTACAAACATTACACAAGACTTTTTACAATGGGAAAAGTAGGAATATATGTAATTTCTGTCATCACAGAACTTGTAAGTTTCAAACCCTGTATTCTAAACATGGATTAAATAGAGCATTAATAGATATTTCACCAAATTTCCTGTTACTGGGACAAAATGTATAGATGGACTTCTTGGTCACAGAGACCTGAAGCCCCAGCATCGTCTGAGGAGACAAGATATGGGAGTGTTCCTCTGTCTCCCTAGCCTACCGTTTCACAAGGGAACTCAGAAAGCAAGCTTCTCTCTTACCTGTCTACTAGGTCTCCCTGCTGTGTATAGTTACTCAGCTAAAGTTTTTATGTCTTAGTATATCTCTGTATTTCACAGCATCATGAGTTTGAGTAAAACAACCCACATTCAGTCATCACTGATTCCGTATCAGTCATCATTTTCTATCCTACGTACAGAAAAATAATGAAAAGTCAAGATTGTACGTGGCTGTTTAAACCAGAGCAGTCATCAAAGCCAAAGGGCAGAAATATAAACATGTTCATGCCCTGATGAACACTGAGGAACGCAAGCTACCCATGCAAAGGAAGATTCTTCTTCCATAAGAATGACTGAGGTTTTGGTCCACTGATGGGTTAATTAGGAAATGCCACAGCAACACTGCAGACACAAATGCGAAGTTGAGGTATTTGTATAAAATGGCCGGAATATAAAAATTTTAGAGTACACAGGGAATCAACATTTCACAGCCTTGGTGTAAGTGGAAAAACAACAACAAGGAAAAACAAACAAACTTAAATTTTGCACAATTTCTAGACCTGTAAAAACTCTTCTAAATATTTTATTTAAAACTCCCCATGTTAATTCATGCTGTAATGAACTGCAGGATATCTTCTTTGAGACTAAGTAATATGGCATTGTATAAGAAAAAACCCACACACTATTTTGTCTTGCCCACTTTGCTTTCCTCGAGAGCCACGTCACCTGCAGTGGTAAGCCTTCCGTGGAATTCTCGCGGGCCTTATCACCAGAGATCATGAGGCGGGCAATGTGGGAAAACATTGGAAACCCGGGAATTCACTGTGAATACACCAGGCAGAGGTCTGAGGAGGTGAGGCGAGCCCCGCCCCGCCCCGCA